TCTGTAGCTCTCTGTTTAGCTGGCTTTGTTTTCAACTTTCAACAGAAATGTTAGTATCCTACGGCAATAAAAAGATACGAAGTGGAATCAGCAGCGTAAATACGTGACTTAGAACGCACACAAGCAATTTTGAAAGATAATAAGTTAAAAATTAAGTTCTGTGTGTCACAATGAATGGAAAGTGGTGGAACAAAGGAACAACTCTTTAAGTATTGAACTATAGCAAGAAAGACAGCCTGTGGCTCACTGAAATCCAATATAACTTGTAACAATTTCATACATCGCTGGGTGGTGGTGGCACATGCCTGTAGCCGCAGCCCTTGGGAGGTAGAGGCAGGTTGGTTTACGTGAGTTTGAGGCCAGCCTGGTCTGCATAGTGAGACCCTGCCTCAAAAAATTAAAAACAAAAAGTTCATATGAATTGTATTTTCTTTTGGATTGAACTCTAACATATATAGTCCTAGCCATACACAGACTAACATTTTCTACATCTTTTCTAGCAATAAGTGTTAATGATGCGGAAGTTTGTAAGAGAAATATTTTCCTGTAGTGTTTATGAAGTTATAAAACCTGCTAAAGTTTCGCAAATTCTGTCAACACCCTCCAGTGCTTCATTTTAATTAGGTCTATTTTAAATATCTCTATTTTTTGAGGCTATAATTTAATTATGATATTTTTGAGGGCCCTTCAGATCCAAACTAGAACACGGCCGCATATCTAACAACAGCTCTGGCACAGAGTTAGGAGACAAGTTCTAAAGCCAGGCTTTTTATCCCATCAGGTACGTTTCTTAGCTGTGTGAGCTTCAGCTGGTCTATTTAACCCCTCTGTGACTCAGTTCTCTCATTGTGTGTCACCTAAAGATAGAAGCTACTCAGGGTCATTGTGGGGATTAAGTGAGCCAGCGGATAGTAAATGCTTGAAGCCTGGCACCTGGGAAATGCTCCCCAAATCATAGTGATTAATGTCATCGGCCATCCACAGCACCAACAGACTTTCTACAGGGATGGCTGGTGCCCTCAGCAGCCACGGACCCTCGGAGACTCAAATGGCCTTTGCTGAGTTCTGCTCCCAGCACAGGAGATAATATATAAGTATCCTGAAACTGTTTGGGAGTTGGAGGATGGATTAGAAGCTCTGCTAGGGGATGCTTTCTGTGGAAGAGACTGCTTCTCATATTTTATTTTTTTTCAAATATTTATTTATTTATTTATTTATTATGTATACAATATTCTTTTTGTGTGTATGCCTGAAGGCCAGAAGAGGGCACCAGACCTCATTACAGATGGTTGTGAGCCACCATGTGGTTGCTGGGAATTGAACTCAGTACCTTTGGAAGAGCAGGCAATGCTCTTAACCGCTGAGCCATCTCTCCAGCCCCCTTCTCATATTTTATTGACTTGCATCATTTTCTTTGAGCACGTGAGTGATCTTTGAGGGGATGGGGGGTAGAAGAACTAGACATGTGGTTTCCTGGGGCCTTAGGGTTCTGTATCGTGCAGAGTTGCATTGCCGAGGTTGGCAGCAAGAAAATAATCCTTAAAGAGTGAAGGGCTGGGCAGGTGTGTGTGTGTGTGTGTGTAAACTGAAAAATTGTTCCTAAAGCTCATATGAAAAATATGTAGGATGAACCAAAGGAGTTTTTTAAAAGAGCAAAGTTGAAGGACTTTCATTTTTCTCATCCAAAGCTTATAAAGCTATAGTCAGAGAGTGTGATACTGATGGATTAAGCAGGTATATAGATTGATGGAACAAGATTCAGAGTCCAAAGATCTTCATGGTTTTGTTCAAAATAAAATTGCCAATACAATTCACTGGCAAAGCAAAGATAGCTTTTCCAGACTGAGGGGATGGTTCAGTCACTAAAACATTTGAATATTTGTCTTATAGCACGAATAAGGATAAACTCACCATGGGCCATAGACTTAAACTTAAGTGCTGAGACAAAGAATCCCTTAGTATAAAAGACAGGAGAAAACCCGTGAGGCTTCAGAACAGCTTAAGCAAAGTTCGTAAAAGAAAAAAAAAAAAAAACTGGATCAGTTTTTACCTCATCAAAACACAAAAGAGCTGCCCTTCAACACATAGAAGGAAGAAAACGAGGAGACAAAGAGACCAGGGAAACATTTGCAAAACTGACAAAGAACCTGTGCCCAGAACACATGCCCATGGTATCATTAATCAGCAGGCAAAACCCACTTAAAATGTGCAAAGTGTCTGAATAGGAATTTTATGTCCCCCCTCCCCTTTCCCCCCACACAAAGCGATGCCAATGGCTCCTAAACAATGGAAAGATGACAATGTCGCCAGTCATAATGCAGATTAGAAGCACAGTGGCATGTGTTATACCCACTACAATGGCTGCACTGGAAAAAGCCAGCAAGTCTTGGCGTGGATATGGAGGAATGGGAAACACCGTACGTGCTAGAGGGACTGTCAAATACTGCAACCACTGCAAAAATAATCGGGCAGTTCCTTCAGAAGTGAAGCGCACATCTTCATAACACCTGCTAAGCATTTGCCCAAGAGAAATAAAAACAGAAAGCCATATACAAATGCTCATCGTAGTTTTCCTCATGACAATCAAAATAGGAATAGTGAAATGCGCGTCGATAAATCAGTGGATGGACACTGTGTGGTGCATCTGCACAATGACATGCCATTGACACATGCAGTGTACCCACACAATGACATTGACACATGCAGTGTACCCACACAATGACATTGACACATGCAGTATACCCACACAGTGACATGCCATTGACATATGCAGTGTATCCACACAATGACATTGACATATGCAGTGTACCCACACAGTGACATGCCATTGACATATGCAGTGCATCCACACAGTGACATTGACATATGCAGTGTATCCACACAATGACATTGACATATGCAGTGTATCCACACAATGACATTGACATATGCAGTGTATCCACACAATGACATTGACATATGCAGTGTATCCACACAATGACATTGACATATGCAGTGCATCCACACAATGACATTGACATATGCAGTGTATCCACACAATGACATTGACATATGCAGTGTATCCACACAATGACATTGACATATGCAGTGTATCCACACAATGACATTGACATATGCAGTGTATCCACACAATGACATTGACATATGCAGTGTATCCACACAATGACATTGACATATGCAGTGTATCCACACAATGACATTGACATATGCAGTGTATCCACACAATGACATTGACATATGCAGTGTATCCACACAATGACATTGACATATGCAGTGTATCCACACAATGACATGGACATATGCAGTGTATCCACACAATGACATTGACATATGCAGTGCATCCACACAATGACATGCCAGTGACATATGCAGTGCATCCACACAATGACATGCCAGTGACATATGCAGTGTATCCACACAATGACATGCCAGTGACATATGCAGTGTATCCACACAATGACATTGACATATGCAGTGCATCCACACAATGACATGCCAGTGACATATGCAGTGTATCCACACAATGACATGCCAGTGACACATGCAGTGCATCCACACAATGACATGCCAGTGACATATGCAGTGTATCCACACAATGAAATGCCAGTAATAGTGAAAAGGAACTGATACACGTTATGAGTTGGATATCTCTCATACTGAAAGAAGCAAACCACAAGAGACCAAACCACACATGATTCTATTAATAGGAAATGGCCAGAAAAGCCAGTCTACAGAAGCAGTACATGTGTGGCTGCCAAGGGCCAGAAGGTGGTGTGTGTGACAATTACCGGTGAGTGTGAGAGTGCTTGGAGATTAACACTGAGTATGTGGGATTTAAGCAGGTGGTAGAAATATTTGAAAATGGCTTCATGGAGATGATCGTGCACGTTGGCAAATTTGACAACGTCTCATTGCTCTGTCCACTTTGGAAGAAAACGACAGTGTTCTTTGGGAATGCTAATAAACAGCTGTGTGATCTCAGGCACAGCTAACTTCTTCTTGCCTCAGTTTCCAGGCACTAAAATTGGGAAAAAGAAGAAGTCACTAAACATAAAGCTGCAGTAGGGCGATTGCTATGGTGTGTGTGGAGAGTTTGTAGCACAGCCTTGACTACAAGAGCTTGGTAGGCACTAGTTCTACAGAGCCTACTAAGAGCCAGTGCTAATTTAACTCAGTTCAGATCTGGAGAAGGGTTTGGACTGCCCTGTGTAGAGAACACAACTAGCCTTGTGGAAATAGTTTCTGGGATCCTGAAGGTCTAGATATGAACAGGATATCTCACAGCAATCTTGGGCTTGGAGTCTCAGGCTGCCAAGACAACGCTGTCTCCTCAGGGCAGCTTTAGTCACGGAGACATCATCTTGAAGCCTGTAACGTGGAAGCAGCTGGCTCTTTTCACAAAGGTCCAGCAGGTGCCTAGGTCACAGTCATTATCATCCAGGTCCAGGCAATTTGGTGGCATGGAAAAGGGCCAGCTTGCCCAGTCTAAAGGCTTTGGAGTGATGCCTTCGTGAGACCGGAGCCTCTGGAAGCTGTGGAGATGAAGGGACAAGGAAAACTACCCAGGCAAGGAGTATCTCTTGAGGAAAGTCCCAGAAGCAACAGGGAACTTGCTGAGTTGAGCTAGTGTTGCCGTGGAGAACAGAGGGAAAGGAAACAAGGGGCAGCGTCCCCGGAGAAGTTTCGGGTGCAGCACAGGTGGTAGGAAAAGCTCAGGTGCCCTTGCTTAGTCCTAAAGGTGCCAGGGTGTCATCCCTCCTGGATGCGGTTGCCTGGAGTATGCATTCAACCAAAAGTGCACAACATCCAGGCTTGTGCCCGCTGAAAAACTGCCTCCCTGCTACTCAGAAGGGAATAAAAGGCACGAAGCAGTGGCCAAGCCTGTGCATGGGGCTGGACCTCAGGAAAGGAGAGGGCTTGTAAATGTTTCATAAACTTCCCTCTGGGCTTCTGCCCTGGCTGGGAGCCCATTAATAAGTCCAGTCTGCAGAGGGGCAGGTGCTGTCTTGGTTTCTATAGCATCACCCGGGGAAAAAGCTGCCAGCACCATCACCTGCCAGCTGAGGGAGGCAGGAGGGGCTGGGGCTGGCCTCCAATGCCGCCGCTGCTGCTCTCAGGACCCCCGGTGCACTGGAGCACACTTTAACTTCTCCAGCAGCTGCCAGAGAGACGGGCTGTGCTCAGTCTGAGCGTGGCTGCCAGAGACAGCGGCCACAGGCTGCTTGCTGTTCAGCTGGTAGCCGGTGCAAGGGGCTGGATTCCTAACCAGCAGCCCCTCAGCCTTGTTTATTCTGGAGCAAGAAGAGAGGGGTTTCTCTTCTCAGAACACCTGGACTGGCCTTCGCCTTATTTTTGATTTTTAGGTAGTTTCTCCCTCCATGAGAACTGAATTTCGAGTGTTCCTCAAGGGCAAACACAGTGCCCCCGAGCTGGAGATGAGAAAGGACGAGAGCTCCTGAGGCCACCTGCCAAGGGCTCAGAGGTGCCCCCCACCATTCAAAATGCCGTTTAAAGCATTTGATACCTTCAAAGAAAAAATTCTGAAACCTGGGAAGGAAGGAGTGAAGAATGCCGTGGGAGATTCGCTGGGGATCTTACAAAGGTAAACTCTAAACTCAAACTTGAGCTTTATTTCTGAGTACCAATGCCTAACATATTTTGAATCATGTTGATAAAACCTCGTTTTAATGGGAAGGGGGGTGAGTTAGGTTAGATGGTTTCTGGAGTTTCTTCTAGAACCAAGTCTGTGCCTCGAGACAAAAAGATGTATCGAAAAGCCCCAGGTCTTGCCTAGCATGCGCAAGTCCCGGGGTTCAGTCCTCAACTCCGGGATGCAGGTGGGAGTGTTAACAAGTGAGAGAAAGGCTCTGTTTATCTGCACTCTGTGTGTCCGTTAAGACAAGCACTCACAGCTGGTGGTATTATGCACAGTGTGCATGTCGTCGAACCAAACAGAAACTTTGGAGGCAGTATTTCATGTTGATTCGTAGTAATGAGACAGTTTGCCTGGAGCTGAGATACCCTGAGATGTTCACTATTGTAGTCAAATACTTTCAGTAATGTTTCTCTTTCTTCTAGGCTTAAATACAAATTACACAATACAGAGTCTGTAAAATGGCTCTTTGTCAAAAAAGAGAGGGGTTGAGACGGCAACTTAAAACATTAGGCAGAAAACTGTAGGTAGGGGCAGCGGGAAAATTCAAAGGCTGTCAGTGAATTCAAAGAGGTTTTAGTCTGTGCCCCCAATAAATATTTTAATGTAAGTTATACTCCTAATAGCAGGAGAGTTTGCTGTGTATGAAAGAACGGGTGTCACGTTTTAATCTGTCCAGGCTTCAGACAACAGGGAAAGTCTTCTCAGGTTTATCAGTAGTCCGTGTGTGTGCAGTAAAATTATTTTATTTCCCGATATAGGAAATGGGAATAATAGCCTTGATATACATTGTGTGTGTTTGAATAATTACTTCTAACCCTAGCATGAAAAATGTGATTTGGCTTCTTCCTTGAACATAAATGTTAAAGTTTTAGTGCTTAAAAAGACCGCATCTAGGTAACCTGGGTGAGCTCTCAGATTCTTCCCCTCTCTCGTATGTTATACCGTATCTTCCTCTTGGTGCTGAGTTTGTCGCTCCTGATCAGGGTTCATCCCAGAAGAGGATGGAGTTAGCAACCTTCTTGCTTTTGTAACTAAAAACAGAAAGGCTTCCCTCTGCGATGCCGGGCCACCATGTGCAGATGGAAATGCATCCCCGTGATAGCCCGGGAACCAGCCAAACATGCAAAATGATTATAATATTTTCTAAATGAGTGTTTCATCCCCTTGCTTGCTCTCTCTCCAGGTAGCATCTTATTGGGGTGTCAGTCACTTGATTATAAACATGAAAAGAAAGCCATTACACATTACACATCACACATTACACAGTGTCCTGGGCTTATCCAAGGGACAACAAAGAAATCTGGCAATGTCAGGAACGGAAACCCTGGCTTCGGGCCAGGGCCACCACTGGGGCCACACCCTCTACTGAGTTTGTGAAGACTTGACAAGTACTTAGTCATCAGAAATGGTACCTTTGAACCCCACTGAGGCTGTTATCAGCCTGTTTCTCCCATGGTTCCATTCGTCCTATGAGTGACGTAGAGTCCGATTTTGTGCTCAATTATTATACGTTGGATCTCATCAATAAGAAGAAAGGGTGTTTTTTTTCCATCTTATTATAAGCATATTTAATCTGAAGCAACTTTCCACTGATTGCTTTGTTTTTGAAAATTTATCATTTATTTAGAGATAGGAAATGTCTATCTTTTTTTTTTTTTTGAGACAGGGTTTCTCTGTGGCTTTGGAGCCTATCCTGGAACTACCTCTTGTAGCCCAGGCTGGCCTTGAACTCACAGAGATCCACCTGCCTCTGCCTCCTGAGTGCTGGAATTAAAGGCGTGGCCAGAAATGTCTGTCTTAAGAGCTGTTTCTACCCTTTGGCTGGATGATGCATGTGGGGAGAACTCTGTGTACCAAGTCGGCTGGCCCAGGTTCAGAACTGAGTTAGTAACTCCCAAGTTACACAGCCTTAACTTGAAAAGGAACTGTGCATCCGAGGCTCTTTGGCCAGCGCCTGGAGCAGTGGTTCTCAACCTTCCTAAGGCTGTGACCCGTTAGTGCAGTTCGGTATGTTGTGGTGACCCCCAAGCATAAAATTACTTTTGTTGTAGCTTCACAACTGTAATTTGCTACTGCTATGACTCAAAATGTAAATATCTGATATGCGACCCCCCCAAAGGGTCACGACCCACAGGTTGAGAACTGTTGGTCTAGAGACTGGTACCCTAGAACAGCTAGCACAAGGCTAGGTGGAGAGTCCCTTAGACGTATGCTGGACATTGTCATTGCTGACATAATATGAGATGGCTTTAGAATAGACAAACCAAACCCAAGATTCAGAGTGTTCATCGGTGGGCCTTAGTAGCAGTTGCTGGGGGGTGGGGGTGGACACAGAATACTTGATAATAATAATACTTGAGCAGCAACCTAGCGGACCCTCAGCTTTGTGATCTTTGCATCAGAACTATCCAGACCAGCTCTGCCACAAGACTATAAGATGATTATATGCAAAGTGTCCCGCCGAGAGTTTGCCATACAGGGGACATTTCCCCCTTTCCTCGTGGCTGCTCGCATAAAACCGGGTGCTATCCTCCAAGCTTAGCAATTAAACCCAGTGTGGGCTGTCTTCTGTGTGCAAGGGCATAGGGAAGGTAGAGCCCCGCTGTTCACTCCAAGGGGAAGGGAGTTACGGGCACAGTCTTTCCTAATATTTAAGACCCAGAGTGGAATTCTTGAGATGTTTTTTAAATCATGGATTGTTCCTCCTGGCTAGGGGAGTGGCCGCCAGGCAGGGAAGCCTTTGAGAGTTCACGCACGGGGTTGATTGCAGGCAAGCATCATCAGCCCTTCCTGGAGGAGAAGCGGCAGAACAATTGCTCAGCTGAGGGCACAATGATAGTTCTGAAGTGGGGAGTGAACCAAGAAGCCTGCTCTTAGAGTGGAGCCTTGCACTGATCTAGGGATGTGTGCCCTGAAACAAGCAAGCAAATTTGTTCAGCTTTGAGTAACGATGATTGTTCATCTGTGAAAATACAATGATTATGGCAAGTGCATAGCATGTTCCAGACATTGTAATTTATTTAATACTGTTTAAAAACCCATGAAGAGGAGACTATGACCTTTGGAGTTTCATAGGTGAAGAAATCAAGGTACAGAGAAGTTGAGTAAGCTGTCTGAGGGCACACAGCTTAAAGTGCAGGTTGGGCTTTAAACCAGAAGTTCTATGAGAGAGGAGGGGGGCCTGGTGTGAGTTTTTGAAACCTCAAAACCGGTGATGTACCTCCTCCAACAGGGCCCTACCTCCTCAAACAAGGCCACACCTCCTCTAACAAAAGTACACATCCTCCAACAGGGCCACACCTCCTCCAACAAGGCCCCACCTCCTCAAACAAGGCCACACTACCTCTAACAAGGTCACACCTCCTCTAACAAGGTCACACCTCCTCCAACAAAAGTACACATCCTCCAACAGGGCCACACCTCTTCAAACAAGGCCACACCTCCTCTAACAAGGCCACACCTCCTCTAACAAGGTCACACCTCCTCAAACAAGGCCACACCTCCTCTAACAAGGCCACACCTCCTCTAACAAGGCCACACCTCCTTCAACAAGGTCACAACTCCTCCAACAAGGCCACACCTCCTAATCCTTCCCAAACAGTTCACCAACTGGGGGCTAAGCATGCAAATATTTGAGCTTTTCTCATCCAAATACCACACCATCTCTCCAGCCCTACACATTCTGTTTTCATAGTTTTGATTGTGCCAGCTCCTGAGAAGTATTTTTGGCCACATGATCTATTGATATTCTGTGTTGGGGTGCTCCATCTTCCCCCAGCATGCCAGGAGCTGGGTCTAACCCACTTGGGAGGCATGGCTTCATTCTAGAATGCATGTTGCCTTTCTTTTTAGGAAGCTCATCTGACGCTTCCCTTCACATAGTATTATGGGTATGTTAGATAATGGGCTCTAGCAGTTAGATGGCCCTTCTTGTATCCTGGGTAAGTTGTGGGCCATGTTCTTGCCTTTGGATCTTATTTAAAGTGGGGTTTTCAGTATATTGTTTGTATCATGGAAGAAATATGTCAGAACAATACTTTCTAATGTGGAACACAAAGCTCAAAGAGGGTCGCTAGGCTCTGTATGTCCTTAAATAGTAGCAAATGCCAAGTGAAGTAGTTTTTCCTTTACTTGGGAGGGAATGTTCTGGAATGCTCCAAATCAAGCTTGTGTGTGTGTGTGCGCGCACGTGTGTGTATGTGTGAGTATGTGTGTGTATGTGTGTGAGTATATGTGTGTGTATGTGTGAGTGTATGTGTGTGTGTGTATACAGTGCACCTATAAATCTTAGAAGCATTTATTTGTCATACATGTGTTTTATGAGGCATTCAGAGTAATTGTCATTTTCTGCTAATAAGCTCTAAAAACATGTTATCTATTAGTTGTACTAGATCCCTGCGACACTCCACAGATGTCTCTGACTAGAAATCATCATTCATCTCATAAGATCTCACCACTGAGCTTCCTTCTAAGGATGTGTCTCAGGAAGCAGGGCCCTGATTTGAACCTTTAAGATTTGAACACTCAGGTCTCTTTTCTAACCATAGGCAGAAACCTCTTCCTCCCTCCATTTCTCTCCCTCCTCCTGTCTCTCCCTTCCTCTCTCTCTCATCTGTTTTCCCTCCTCCTGTATTTTTTCTCTTGTCTTCCCCTCCTCCATTTCTTTTTTTCTTTCCTTCCTTTTTCTTTTCTTCCTCCTCCACCCTCCTCTCCTCCTTCCTTTTCCCTCATCTCCCCAACCCTCTCCCATCCCCCCTTCCTCCTCCATTCTTCTCCACTTTTTTCCTCCCCGTACTTCCTCTCTAGCTACCCTCTTTCCTCTCTTTTCCTCCAACTGCCCCCTTTTCCTTCCTCGTTCTTCCCATTGGCTTTCCTTCCTCCTCATTCCTTCCTAGCAAGCAAACTCAGGGCCTTGTTCCTGGGAAACCCGTGCTCTATGCTAGGGC